TTACCTCTTTGTCAGCTCCTCTACCCAGAGGTCACTTCCAAGGAGAGGGAATGTCTATCTAATTCAGCTCTATTCTAGCACCAGGTACAGAGTTGCTTGTAATGTTGAGTAGAATGTCACCACTCTGAGCCCGAGTGTCTTCATTGATAAAAGACAAATAACAGGCCTTCAAAAAGTCACATGAAGATTACATGACATAAGGCAAGCAAGGTGCTTGGTCAGTCAGTGCCCCACAGATGAGCCAGTAGCAATTGGCCTTGGTGGTAAGAAAAACCTGGCTCTCCCATAGACTTTCTGTATAACTTTGGGCAAGTCTCTTGCCCTTGCTGGCCTCATTATCTCACCCACCCAGATAAGGGAAATGAAGTAACCATCTCCTCTGTCAGAGTTAGGAAATGGGAGGCACTGAAAGCAAATGGTTGCTATAAGCTTTGCAGCATGAGGAGGTGACCTGTCAGCATGAACATACCAGTTGGTTGCTAATTTAGTCAGGGGTCAACAAATAATCTGCTTTACTCTATGGGAGACGCTTAAGTGGGTAGAGAACCATATGGGTGGTTGACCTTGAGACCCTATGAACAGATCATCCTCTATAAACAAGCCCTGGCATCTCAGTTTCATCTGGGAGGTTAGTTCTGCCAAAAAGAAGTTCTCATCCTGTGAGGCCCTAAAGTCAAAGGATTTCTAAAGCAGGGGAATAAGGGGCGGGGGATTAATACAGGGCCCACACACTTGTGCAAGACGGCGATCTCATTCTCCATGCTGCCCTCTTTGCCCTCCAGGGCCTTCTTGGCAATGCATTTGATGGCCACCAGCTTCTGAGTCCTCTTGTCTTCTGCCAGAATTACCTCTGAGAAGGCACCCCTGTGAGATAGAGGTTTGCAAGGTGAGGAGCTACAATCCCAGCTTCCCTTGCTCCGCTATAGCCTGCCTGACCGCCTGTGTCCTTCACTTTTCTTCCCCCTGGCTCCAGAGGTTGTCACATAAGCCAGACCTGGCCAATCAGAGTTGTCTGACCCTTGACTCAATAACTGGTCACATACGTGCCCATTTCCTGGCACTGTACATGAGGTACTCTCCTAGTAAGTTGCTAGGATGTAACCCTGGAGTCGATGGCAGATAACTTTGTCAGAGTCTGCTTCAAACTGAAGCCAACCAAAGGAAGCCAAGCTGGAGAAGTAGACAGTTTTCTGATAGTATGTGAGTCAACTGGGCCTGAACTCTACTCCTGTGATATTTGATTGTGTGTGTGTGATCGATTTTTTTTTCTATTAAAGTCAGTTTGAGTTGTGGGTAATTTAATGCCCTTTAGAACCTCAGAATTAAACCATTGCCTGAGAATGTTTTGAAATGCAGTCTCAGGTCTCACCCACCCCAGACTTCCTATCAAATGCTGCATTTTAACTGGTCTGTGCCTAATTTGTATGCTCAGTGAGTTTAAGAGGCAGGGGTTTATCCCAGACTCATAGCAACAAATAAATCCATCCTGGCACTCACTGATCAAGGAGAATCTGCATCTTGTTCTCCCTGGGAAAATAAGAAGTCCTAAGTCAGAATTGCGCCCCTCGAGGCATTCCAGTCATCGAGGATAACTAGTGACTGATCACTACACTGGTTTCCATTCTTGGCTCCCCAATTTCTTTTCTTTTCTTTTTTTTTTTTTTTTTTGGTTTTTTTTTGTTTTGTTTTTTGTTTTTTTTTTTCAGATTCATTTGCTTTGAGGGTTTTGTCTGCATGCATACCTTGTGCCCCACAAAGGTCAGAAGATCTAGAGTTATAGATGCTTGTGAACCACCATTGGTGCTGAGAACTGAACCTATTCCTCTGCAAGAGCAACTAGTGCTCTAACTACTGAGCCATCTCCCCTGCACCTATGGCCAGCTTTAAATGCCTTCCTCTATCCTGTAAAATGACCTCTTGCCTCCTTAGCCTGTTCTCAAGGCTTTGCTTTCTCTGCCCCTTTCCATCTCTTGCAGCTTCAACTCCTCCCAGCCCTAACTCTGAGCTCCAGCAGACTCTGCCTCTTTCTAAGGCAGCCTGGCCTCTGAGCCTTTGCATGCATTGTTCCCCCTGCCTTGAGTTACCTTCCTTCTTCCTGGCAAGCATAAGCCTGTCCTGTCCATCTTACCTTTCAACCTCTAGGTCTCATGTCTCCTTCAGGGAGTGTTCTCCAGCCAGAAGAGACTTCTCGGCCTCTACAGCCTCAACAAGAGCATAATATACATCTACCTGTCATTTTGTGCTTGTCTGTCTGTCTAAGACCAACTTGTAAAGGGAAGAAACCTGGGTTGAGTTAAATTTGGATTTCCACCATCAAGAATAGCCATGCCCAGCCTCAGTTTCCAAACCTAAGCCAGAATACCTGTTCTTGGCAGCAAGCTAGATAAATGACTTTTATTCTCCTGTACTTCCTTCTCTTCATAAGGGATCTTTGACTGTACGAGAGAGCCCCCCCCCATCTTATCCACTGTCGGCCCCAAACAAAAAGCTGGACTAGCCTACGTCATGCCACAGCCCTGGTCTGCTCCTAAAAAAAAGGGAAGTGCTGGTCAACTGGTCAGAGGAAGCACCACCCCAGACTCAGCCTCTCCAGCCATCAGACCCAAGAGTGAAGCCCTTCCCAGTTCCATCCCTAGCTCAAATATTGCTCCCCCACCCCACCCCCACCCTGAGACACACGTGCCCAGCACATCTCGGAAGTCATAAATGTCCCTAATGTCTTCTGCTTGCTTCCACCTGGGGCCTTCCACTGCCCCTGGCATGGCCCACTGCCCTCCAGCCACAGCCAGGGCTCCTGGAAGGGAAACAGAGGGAGAGATTCAGAGGGCATAGCCTCTGAGAATCTATTGCATGTCCCATTACTATCCAGCCAGCACGAGTTCATTCATTCCTTGACTGCTCATTGACGTAGTCATTCAGTCTTCACCAGTCATATGTTCATTCAACAGCATCTGTTCGAAAAGTCTTATGCCTAGAAAAAAATCATTCCTGGTAGCAGCAAAATTCTCAGTATTCATGCATTCCTTCACTTCATTCTCCATTTTGCCTCAGTCTTGAATCATAACACCCAAGGAAACCCTCCTCTCAAGAGAGAGCAGATAAAACCATAGAGCAGCTAGGAGCAGCACCCTAGAGGAACCCTCTGCCCAGAAGCAATGATGCCCCAGTCTCATCTTGGAAAGGGTTGGGGTGTCCTCTCCCTCCTCCTTGCCGCTCTAGCCTCTCGGAAATCAGGTTTCCGGCAGCCTGGGCTTCCAGCAATATCTCAGCCACGTTTTTAAATAGCTCTTTCTCACTGTTACCAGGGCAACATCAGCCACAGCTGGAACTCCCCAGGCCTACCCCTCCTGACTCCTGTCTGTGTCCCAGCAGCCTGAAAACTGGTCCCACCCATCCTCTCTTGGTCTGACCTTATGTATTTTGGACCTTTCTCTAGACTTCTCTGTCTCGTCCTACAAGAGGGGGTGGGTTCTCTCCCCATATATCATGTAGAAAATAGGAAAGTGAGGTTGGAGATGGATAGGGTGAATCCAAAGTTGTCCAAGAGACACCCAGCCGTGGTCCCAGCTAAGCTGGCTAAGGGCAGAAGCTGTCTTTTGTTGATCCTGGAGAAAGCTAAACTGGGGATCACTCAGAAAATAATCTCTCGACATCCCAAAATCACAGAGGATGAAACCAAATAGAGCCCCTTATGCGCCATAGCTCTGGGAAGATGCCCTCCTTCTGTTTCCTCAGAGAAAGAAGGGAAGGCACCCTGAGAAGGACTGCCCACTCCTTAATTGGGACCTTACTCCCCAGCATTGGCCAGCCAGCCATCCATCCCAGGGCCAAAGGAGCCAATGGTGAATTTAAGAAGTAAAGTCCGGCTCACCTGCAGGCCAGCACTAATGACCCTCATGGTTCCACACTGCAACAGATATCAACATCAGGAATTCTGACTCTTGAGCCCAAACACCTGCATCTAGACCCAGCATACTGCACACCATGACACCTGATTATATGCATATACCCAGGCATCAGCATACATGTTGATATATACAGCCCTCAGGCACCCCCATGCTCTCACACATACGTGTTTGTACAAACACCCTCACCCAGACCCCTTACACTCCAACTGATTCAGTGCACACACGAACAAGGTGGCATCCATTCCCACATACCAGACTTGGCAACTTCAATCCCATCTACACCCTTCAGCTCCACTGCCCAGTGCCCTACACAGCAAACCAAGCCTTAACTCTCTACCTAACTCTAAACACCCTCAAAACAGAACCAAACCTCCCCCAACTCTGACTTACTACATTGCAAGCCAGACACCAGTGTGTGCGTGCGTGCATGCGTGTGTGTGTGTGTGTGTGTGTGTATCCTTGAATACCATATGCAACAAAATATGAATTTCCAGACACCCTTCCACACTGAAGCACATGCCTGCTTCAGGGAACCCCTTACGTACCCTCCTCCCCCATCTACACTTCCAAATGCCCACGCCCTTCCAGTCCGGCCTTGTGCTTGGACATGCGCGCGCATACACAGCCCCCCTCCCCACCCTGTTCTGACACTCAGGCAGTATCCCCGGAGGTCACCTAGCACCTGATGGGCCTGGGACGGAGGTGGGAGAGAAAGGCCCAGCGCTATTCAGTCCAGGGTTCAGGCGCCCCTCCCACCCTTGGGCTTCAGTACCCTGTGGCCGTCGCGGACAGAGCAAGGCAGACCCTGGCTGTACCTGCGGCTGCCCCGCGTCGGGGCTGGCTGCGAGGGGCCGAGGTGGCCGGTGCGGAGCTCCCTCCGGGTCTGTGCCTGGTCAGCCTGCCTGCTCAGTCGCTGGCGCTTGGCTGGGGCTTGGCTCTCTCGGCCCGCCTGCGGCTCTGATGTCAATGGAGGAGGAGCCTGAGGCAGAGGACCTGGGGATTGGGAGTTGAGGGGACGGGCGCTCTGAAGAAGGGCCCCACGATTCCACTACAACCCCTGCAACATACTTCTTGCCCTTTGGTCTTCAACAGGACTCTTGTCAGCGGAGACAAGTGCGGTTCAGAGATGTCTTGAAATCAGCGATTGGTCAGAGGCAGACGGTATTCAAACCGACAATTATGAGATGCCAGAGGCTAGTCAATTTGACCCCGGAGTTGCTTTCAGAAGAGTTCTGGTACCTCCCTTAGGGTTCTTAGGCTTCTAGCCCCTCTGTCCCCACCCTCTAGTGATTAAAGGGAGCTGGGCCCATGGAAGGTTCAGAAGACTAGGAAAGGGCTGGTGAAATAAAGAGCTGCAGGATCCCATTTGATTGGCAGGTAAACTGAAGCCCCAAGTCAGTGGAAACAGAGCGGCTCTGCTCCCATACACTTGCAAGTACTGCTCAAAGGGACCAAGGGAGAGAGGTAGGATGGGGGAGGTGGAGTTAAATCTGGCTCCTTAGGGAAGCTGGCCTAAGAGGACCACAGTGCCATGTGACAGACCCTTGGCTAGGAGCCAGAATGGGGAGGGTGGAGCAAATCTGCTCCCGGTGCTGCAGGCTCCAGGCCAAGGGACATGACCCGACTTGGTTTAAGCAAGACTCTTTGGGAATAAATTGAGCTCAGGCTAGAGGGGGAAGCAATGGCAGGAACTTGAGGTGGGTATGTCCTAAAGCCAGGCAGGGAGACATTGGTTCCCAACATGACCTACCTACCACACCGCTCACTTCTGGATCCAACATTTATTTCTCCCAGTGTGACTGTCCATTGTCCTGGAGTAGTCAAGCCCAGGAAGATTGCTAGAAGGCTGATCTGGCCTCCCTTACCACGCTGTACCTTCGGAAGCCTCAGTTTCTTCTCTGATATGGAATTATTGACGACTGACTCAGAATTCTTTTAAGAGTTCTGTGTAGGGGACTGGAGAGATGGCTCAGAAGAGCATTGCCTGCTCTTCCAAAGGTCCTGAGTTCAATTCCCAGCAACCACATGGTGGCTCATAACCATCTGTAATGAGGTGCCCTCTTCTGGCCTGCAGGCATACATGCAAACAGACAGAATATTGTATACATAATAAATAAATTTTAAAAAAAAGAGTTCTGTGTAATGGATTTGCAGTACTTAGACCACTAGTTCAGAACAAGCTGGGATGGTGGCTCACACAATCTTAGCTGGCTGGGGATGGTGGCTCACACAATCCTTCAGAACAAGCTGGGATGGTGACTCACAGAGGCAGAAGTTGATACATTATCAATTGTTCTAAGCAAGCTGGTGAGATTCTCCTTTGAGGGCAGGGAGGAAGGATGTGCAGATGGCTTAGGGTGTGGGTACGCTGCTCAAGCACACAACCCGAGTTCAAATCCCCAGAACCCATGTAAAAAGCTGGAGGGGGCTGTGTGCTCCTGTAATCCCAGAACTATGGGGAAGTATGCTGCCAGTCTAGCTCCAGGTTCAGGAAGCAACAGTGTCTCAAGGCAGGGAGTGATAGACCACAACCCTTGCCATCCTCCTCTGGCTTCCATGGACTTGCACACTCACATACACAAATACACACACACTCACACACATACACAAAGTAAAACTTGAGAACAAGATTCAGTATAAACCAGAGCTCAAAGACAAGACCTGACCTGACCAAGGTCAGATACTAAGGGGCATTTTTTTTACTATTTTTTTAAAGATTTATATATTTATTATGTGTACAACATTCCTTCCATGTATGCTTACATGCCAGAAGAGGGCACCAGATCTCATTATAGATGGCTGTGAGCCACCATGGGGCTGCTGGGAATTGAACTCAGGACCTCTGGAAGAGCAGTCAGTGCTCTTAACCTCTGAGCCATCTCTCCAACCTAAGGGGCATTTTCTTACCTCACATCTCAGTATCTTGGGTTTCTTACCCACTTCTGACCCAGGCCCAAACCTCTATTTTATCAGCCATCCAACATGCCGTTGAGCTAGAGAGTAGTGTTGATACATTGTGTTTATTTCTAGAACAACAGTACTGGATGATAGGGTATCCCACTGAGGGCTGGTACAACTTTTCTTTAAAAAAAAGATTTACTTACTTTTTCATTTACATCTATGTGTGCTTGCCAGTATATGTGTGCACCACGCTCATGCAGGGGCTCTTGGAAGCTGGAAGAAGACATCTGATCATCTGGAACAGGAATTACAAGTGGTAGTGAGCCACCATGTGGGTATTGGGAAGCAATCCTGGGTTCTCTGCAAGAGCAGCAAGTACTCTTAACTACTGAGCCACTGTCCAGTCCCAACATGTACAACTTTTATGTTCTTACACTTTTCCTGCTTTTAAAGCTTTTCTGGGGGCATTTAGGTGTTATTACTTTTAAAAAAAAATTACTGTATGTGCATGTGTGCACGTTCAGAGAACAACTTTAGGAGTTGATTCTCTCCTTCTACCATATGGACTCCAGAGATCGAAGATCAGACTGATAAGTTTAATAGTAGATGCCTTTTAACTATTGATTCATCTTGCCTCACTTTTTCTAATCTTTATTTTTCTTTGCTTTTTTTTTTTTGGTCCGAGACAGGGTTTCTCTGTGTAGCCGTGCTTGTTGCAGAACCAGGTTGTCAGGCTGGCCTTGAACTCACAGAGATCTGCCTGCTTCTACCTCCGAAGTGCTGGAATTAGAGGCATGTGCCACCACTGCCTGGCTTTCTTTGCTTATGTTTATAGATTGATTTTTATTTTATATGTATGATTGTTTTGCCTGTATGTAAGCCATGTGTGTGCAGTGCCCTTGGAGGCCAGAAAAGGGCATCTTATACCTTAGAACTGTAGTTACAGCTGACTGTTAGCCTCTGTGTGGGTGCTGGGAGCTGAACCAGAGTCCTCTGCAAAAGCAGCAAGTGCTCTTAACCACAGCCATGTTTCCAGCCCTGCTGTTTATTTTGTTGAGACAGAGTTTCATGTAGTCCAGACTGACCTCAAATTTGCTATGCAGTCTAAGGATGACCTTGACTTCCTGACCTTCTGCTTCTACCTCCTTAGCTCTACATTCACACCCTTAAACCTTGATACACCAGGGATAGCACAGATCAAATCACAATCACCAAGTGCCAGGGAATCGGAGACTGGAACTAGAGATGCTGAGCTCATGGAGCCTCCTTCTCTCCTCTTCTGTCTTGATTTCTCTTCCCATACTGTCTCATTCCCAATACAGAATAATATTCTCTACCTGGCATAGAAGGGCTCTTGAGTCTCTAAATCTTTCTGAGTGACTGTGTGATGTAGCTCCAATGCTGCACCATATTGGACAGATATTCTATGGTGGGTAACCAGCCGCACGCAGGAGAGGAGTACCTGGCCCAAAGGAAACGGGAGAACTAGGCAGGCAGGAACAAGGAGTCCACTTCAGTCTTGTTCCTGTTAGTCACAGAGAGCCAGGGTAACTTTTTGGTAGCTATTCTTCCAGTGTTTCAGATACACCTGAATAAGTTTAACTCCTGCATCAGCTACTTCCAGTGAGCAATCAAGGACAGTCAAATATATGCAGGAAAAAAAGATATGATAATACTTTCTTCCTCTTTCCAAACCTGGGAAAATAGATCAGTCCTTCATTCTTTCTCTTTCAGTTATTTTCTTGCCTTTCTTCTTCCTTCTCATTCCCCATCCCTCTGCTCCTTTCCTGGAGTTGGAGTCCAGGGTCTTGTACCTATTGGACAAATACTGTACCACTGAGATACAACCCCAGTTCTTCCATCAATTCTTTAACCCAAGGGAGAATAATTTATTGGGGGGATGAATGGTCCTCTAACATTAGAGAAAATAGGAGAAACCACAAAGAAAAGATGGACAAACTTGTTTATAAAAATATAAAAACTTCTGCCCGGCAGTGGTGATGCACACCTTTAATCCTAACACTCTGGAGGTAGAGGCAGGTGGATTTCTATGAGTTTGGGACCAAGCTGGTCTTCAGAGCATGTTGTAGGACACCCAGGGATACACAGGGAAATCCTGTCTCAAATATATATATACATATGTAAATAAATAAATAAACTTATTCAACTTTTGTTGGTGGGGGAAAGTGTAATTTACCCTACTCCAAATCGTGGTTAACAGTGGAAAACCAACTTCAGACTGGAGAAATAGCTCGCAAGACATGGTAGCTCACACCTGTAATCCTAGCATTTGAGAGGCTAAAGTAGAACTGCCACAAGTTGAAAACTAGCCTGTGCTACAAAATGAGACGTAGTCTCAAAAAGACAGTGGTTTAATATCTCTGTTATATAAACAGCACATAAAATTCATATTAAGAACCTAATAAATCATCAAGGACATTGATGAACTAGAGTAAGCGTAGGGCATTTTCTGTCTCAATACTAAGAAAAGGATACTGCAAAAAGGAAAGGCCATTTAATAGCCTTTCACAGCTGAACTTTAAAAAGCATTTAGTCTGTGTGTGTGTGTGTGTGTGTGTGTGTGTGTGTGTGTGTGTGTGTGTATCTGTGGAGGCCAGAGATCAACCATGGGTATTTTCTCTATCATTCTTCACTTTAGTTTTTGAGACAGGCTAACTCGCTGAGCCCAGAGCTCACCAATTGGCTAGACCGACTGGCCAGCAAGCTTCAGCAGTCACACACTATCGAGCCTAGTTTTTTACATAGGTTTTAGGATCCAAACTCAGGTCCTCATGCTTATGCAGCAAGCACTTCACTGACTGAGCCATCCCTCAGCCCCAATAAATATTTTTATGACAACAAAATTACTAGGTATAGTTGCTGGGTGGAATATTTCACAGCTTGTAATTGGTGGCACTATGACCTATTTATAGAAGGACTAAGTCCTTCTGAGGTTAAGCAGGTATGTTGTATGGCAACTTCAAAGTAATATGCAAGCCACAGATTTATTCACAGTGGAGTAGAAAGGACACCACAAATGTTAAGGACAGTTTTCAAAAGTTCTCTTACTTTGTTTTATTTACATGTTTGTATTCCCCAGTCTTTTGGTGTCATTGTTATTATTGTTGAGCAACACTGACTGTACATTTTAAAAAAACTCATAAAAATTATTTAAACTTCTGGGCAGTGGGGTGCACACCTCTAATCCCAACACTCAGGAGGCAGAGTTAGGTGAATCTCTGTGAGTTCGAGGCCAGCATGGTCTGCAGATGGAGTATCAGGACAGGCTCCAAAGCTACCAGAGAAACCCTGTCTCGTAAAACAAAACAAAGCAAAAAAGAAAGAAAGAAAGAAAGAAAGAAAGAAAGAAAGAAAAAGAAAATATGCTAGGCAATGTCTAGTGGCAAAAGTTTGTATCACAGCTACTTAGAGAAGCTGAGGCTGGAAAATCACAGCTTGGGCTAGCAAGTGAATTCAAAGCCAGCTGGAGTAACTTGGTGAGACCGTGTCTCAAAAAGTAAGGAGAGGTCTGGGGGTGTAGTTCAATTAATAGAGTGCTTGCCTCAGTGCCAAACTGGGTGTGGTGCCACCAGCTTGCAATCTCATCACCCAGGAGGCACAACAGGAGGGTCAGGAAGTTTTGCTTTGTTTTTAAGAAAGATTTATTTTTATTACTTTGGAATTATGTGTGTGTGTGTGTGTGTGTGTGTGTGTGTATATATATATATATATATATATATATATATATATATACATGGGTGTAGGTGCCCACGGAGGACAGAAGCATCAGGTTCCCCTGGAGCTGGAGCTATAGTAACGGACAATGGTGAGCTGTCCATCAGTGGTGAGGGTACCGGGAACTGATGGATCCTGTGACAGAGCAATGCCTTCTCCTAACTCCTGGCCACCTCTATACCCTGGATAGGAGTCTGAGACCAGCCTGTTCTCAGAACAGTTGTTCCACAGATGCTGGCTCTGCACTGTACCAGTCTGGTGTTCAACTATATTTTCACTTCTATTATTGTTTTATTTTATTTTATTTTTTTGGTTTAAAGACTGGGTTGTGGGGTTTTTTGTGTGTGTGTAGCCCTGGCTGTCCTAGAACTC